GGTAAATATCCACCACTAACCACCTCCACTTTGGTGAATAGTTGTTAATTAAACACTGCTTACTGTGCATTGTATTGCTAAGCTGAGATCCATTTTCAGTGATTGCATCTAAGGTATTTGAGTTCCAGGCAGTATAACTACAAGGTGAGATGATTGAATAACATATGGAATAAAGAACTACTGCAAAACAGTGGTCTTTGTAACACTTGTGTTGACCTAATATATATATCTTATTAACCAAGCGCAAGGGTCGTACTGGGAGAATATCGGCCCGAGGTCTTGACAGTACGGACTGAGCACAGCAAGGTCCATACAAAAAAGACCGAGAGCCGATATTCTTCCAGTATAGTCCCGAGCAAGCTTGGTTAATAATACGACTGAAGTTCAAAGGGAAACAAGTGCGGTATCATTCAGGACCATTTGGGACAGTGCCTGGTCCAATACTGAGAGAATATTGACTGGCAATAGAGCATTTTGATTGGTTGATTTTAGTTATTGGCCCTCTGACTGCCTGAGTCGTGTAATAAGATCTCTTTAATACCTCTCTTACATTGTTGCTTATTGCCACGTCATATTTTGTAATTTAGTTCATACAGATCAGTTGCTCAAAAACTTTGAAAGTAATGCACTAAGTTGGCTGTAGATGATATGTCTGATAGAACATGTTCCTCGAGCTTGACTTTTACTATAACCATCTCTAGCATGCGAGTCAATCACCTTAAAATGGCCATTATGACCTTTATTGTTCCATTTCAACGACTGAAGAGCTCTTTTCAGGCCCCTACAGTATGGATATCCCTCAGTGGTAGGCTTGACCATGGACATTACCAGTGTAACTTTCACTGTATTCTTGCTCGTAACCTTCTCTAGTACTAAGCATTGATGGTAAATCTGTTAGCAGTGAAAATGATTCATGTTCTTGATAATTGTGACAAACTGTTATGAGGCTGGTTTCCAATATGCATTATTTGTTTCAAGTCATCAGGATTACCTATCCCTTTGATATTGGGGTATATTGACACACATAGACTCATTGCAACACACTGTTGCCCTGCATTTTGTCCAAATAAATCAACATCCCCTGGACTGTATGCTGCTTTTATTATTTTACTGGGATCCACATGGTACATACCAGGACCAGGGTTTTTCTCTATATCATCATAGAGCTTGCTATTTGTACAAATGTCCCAGTGAATTACACCCTTGTACCCACTATGTGGGAAATTACACAAAAAGAACCTGAAGTATTTGAGATATTTCCTTCCATGTTTATCTGTACTTGAATTGTGGACATATCTCATCACAGAGTTAACATTTCTTGTTCCAAAAATTGGTTTCCTTCTCATTTTTTATGCAAACCTGAATCATGTTTTATGTGTAATTTTTTTGTGTTTCACTATTTTGAATAAGATCATGGACTTTCCATGACTTTTGTATGTTTTTACTTAAACGGCTCCCTGCATAATTCTGCACTTTTCTACTTTTCTGAGAGGGACGTTTCAACATCACTAGTAACTCTGCTTGGTTCACAATCACGTTTATAGCCATGGCATTCACACAAAAACACGAGTACAATTATAATATGTTTTACATACTTTGCAAATTGAACTGAATTGTTGTATTCTTCTTGACACTGTAACATCATGATGTTCATGTACATAGGTCATATTGACAAATTTTTCTAGCATATCTAATCATGTCTTCTACTAGGTAAGTACAGACAACTCCATGCGAAGAGCAAACCAACATTGACGATCGCTTGTACAATAATATTGATTATTTTTTCTCAGTTCGTGAGCGGGCGGTATTCTACAAATCGTGCAATCTGATTGGTTCCGAGAGCGGGCAGCATTCTCCCCATCTGGCCCGCTCACTGCGGGCGGTATCCGTTTCGCTTGTTTAACTTTGCAGCATATCTCAAGGTTCGTTGCAATTTTTCACAAATATATCTCATTTTGCCGGCTGGGCAGAATTTTTAAGCAAAGGCTTCGGTCACGACCTTTTGGTGATAAATAGTAGTCATTCTTTCTTCTCTCTCACTCTCAAAACACTTTGGTTTTTCCGCAAAAATCGATTTCGAAATAAATTGTGTGGTACTAAATTTGTTTTTGAAAAGATAGAAACGTGGCCTAGAAACAATTTGTAATTCAATAATCCTTCCCAAAAAGTCACTCAGAAAGTTAACACGAGAGTTAGTTGCAGTTAATAATTACGTTAATCAATGTGACTCCCAATCGCTAATATCTGAATTCTTCAACACAATTTGTTCGTTTGTGAAACGTTAAGCGAAGTTTTGAGTTCTTCTATAAATACACTTTCGCCTATTCTTTGCACGTCCCTTGAATTTGGACATTACTACCGTAAATTTCACAACAGTAACCGAAAGAATTCGATGAATATGAGTCTCATTAAATGTCTAGCTGGACACAGTCTCAACGACTTCAGCTTTTCGGTGGAAGAAAAATCGATTTTCACACATCATTACAGAAAACAAACTAGCAGACTGAAAACTCCAAAACAAACATTTGTATTCACTTACAATTTGACTTTCCGTGACATTTTAAAACGGAACAGAGGTAAGTCTTCGAAGATTAATCGTCGTTGGAAATAAACAATACTTTACGTAAGATCTCCGAGTGCTTTTTTTTTCTTACAAGAACATTCTCATCGTTAACTCGTGCCTGTTTGTCATACCAGTGCTGTTACTTATTCAAACGCGTACCCTTTTTCCTCATCAATTGACAGGTGTCATATTATGACAGTTACTTATCAAAAAATGTTTCAAAGTTTTAAGTTACCTTTACAAATGAAAATGTTTCGGTGAAAGCGTTCTCTTAAATTTGGATAATGTCTGTTTTCTTTATCATCCACTCGTGAACAAATTGACAAGTTTATGGAGGATTTTCCCGTAATTAAACTCGTAACTGTCGCTCTAAATCATTCGGGTTCTTATAGCAATAACTTTTTTGTGTTCGAAAAAAATAAAAATGTTATTGACCAGCATAGGTCGGTCCGTATTGGGAAAAGCTGAACCCTCTGTCTTTGCTTCAGCTTTTAACTCTCTACGGTGAAACCAAATTCTCTTGCAATACCCCCATCGACGCTGCACCACAGTTTCTTTGAAAACTTACCCCTTTCATGTATACTTTATTTCGCTTGTCGACCGTCTAAGATTAAGACTGTAACTTCAATGATGTTAGCAATTAAAATTAGCCTGAAATGTAGACTTATTTGATGCTCCGCGCCCCTTGGGTTTAAAAAACCTGATGTATTCGCATATGTGTACGATATATATTTACGTATGTTCTCATATTCTAGACCTATGTGTCTTTACATGATTTTCTCATTCTAAAAATAAGTTAACAATTATTAATATTAATCCCAATTAGAAGCGGAGCTTTGGGCTCGATAAGGTGAAAATTCAAGTTATTTTGATGCCTCTTTGCCCCCAAATTGCAAATTCCATAGAATTGTCCTCTGTATTCACAGTTTGTGATATATTTGACAGTGCCTCGTTTGTTCGCTGTGTACAGGCCGTTAATATCAGAGCTTCAGCACGAGCGTTTCCTGTTCGCTTGCCTGAAAGTACGAGGGCTGTGCTCTACCAACGCGAATCGGCGAAAGGTCTTCAAGGAGTCTAGTACCAGACTCCCGGTAAACCTCTCCCCGACTCGTGTCTAACTTTCCCGCTGCAGCGGGCTGTCATTCTATGCGTAGTTCCTTCCTTCTTCGGGCGAATTCTTGTCGTGAGGAAAGCAAAGTCTAGAGATTTAAACCTAGTTTCATATATTAAAGACTTCGTAATCGTTTCCTTTGGAGAACGCTGTTTGGTTTGAAGGTTTTTTTCTGGAGATGATGAACTTGTAATAACGCTATTACAATTCTGGTTATTATTATTATTTTTTTTTTGATACAGTAAAGTCAGCAAACGATCACTTCAACAGCTTAACGAAATGACCTCCTCCGCGCTGATTCCCTCTTATTTCTCGCCAGATACAAAAGGCGTTGAATCCAACAGAACTGCCCGCAGCATCTTGGCTTCAACTCCACGACAGGAACGATAACGTCACCTTATGTATAGAAACCCATGCATCGAGTCGGTCTCTTGCAGAACTTATATAAGATGATAATGTCTATGATTATTTGTGACATTGTTTAGCTGTGCCGCATGTTTCGTGTGCGTCGGAAGTTCGAGTTTTCTGCGGTTGGCGTCGTATTTTGCCTGCAAGTAGAAAATTAGCGTGTTTGTAACAGATGACAAATACAGTGTTACGCGAGTTAAAAGTTTTTCACAGACAAAAAACAAAGGATAAAATTTGGAAGTTCCGTTCTCAATTCCAGTCTGTCGAAACAAATCTCGTGCGCGCATTTAAATTGCTACGTACGAGCCAAGCTGTTTCGCTTTTAACCCTATACATTTTCTGAGGTGCTGACAAGGTAAATTCGTTTAACAGTCAAGAGCTTTTTAAAGTTGGTGATCACTTTCGTTATACTCATAACCTCAATGCTTGACCCAGGGATGATATTGTAAAGACAAATAAAATGCTGGTCACTCTCTAACATACCAAACAATAATAATCAACTGTGAAACTCACCTTGTTATATAGAAACACTCCAAAAATGGCAGCTAACATTCCAACTCCATTATATAGGCTGACTGGATTTCGCAAGAACATTATAGACACTGTAATTACTAAAATTCTTTTGGTGGCAGAGGCCACTGCATAGCTTAGTGGAGTCACTAGAGATAAAACTGTAAAGGCCACCATATTCTGGGCAAAATTTAAAAATCCATTTATTGTTAAGATAACCAGCAGCCATAAAATGTCCTCCTTTCCCTGAAATAAAGAAAGCAAAATGTTGTTATCAAACAAAGATTTGTTATATACTTTAAATAAAGAGAGTTTTCGTGATTATTGTCTATTTAGAGACCGTAAGTCTGACCTCTCGGTTCGCTCAATTGGTTAGAGCGCCGAATAGTGTTGTGCGGGAGGTCGAGGGCTCGAGCCCCGGCCGGACCGATACTCATGGTCTTAAAATAAGGGAGGAGAATTTGCTACCTTTCTATAATCACAAAAATGGATAGATATTCTAGTCTTCTCGGCTAAGGACGAATAAACCGTAGACCCCGTCTACTGCAGTGGATGTCCTCCCCAGGGGTGGGAAAGGTAGGAATTGGCCCTGAAAAGCCCCCATGGGGAGCAGTCAACTAACGTATGTATGTATGTATGTATGTACGTACGTACGTACGTACGTACGTATGTATGTATGTATGTATGTATGTATGTATGTATGTATGTATCTTTTAAATAATTGTTTCTTCAGTGGACTTGACTTTTTTTTTGAGCGACACAACTAGAATTTTGGGCAATATGACTCAAGTTTGGGTGATATAAGATATATATATATATATATATATATATATATATATATATATGCAGTTAGTTATATATATATATATATATATGTATATATTCCTGGGTGGAGAGGGGTACTACAAGAGTAAAGTGTTTGGCCCGAGAACATAACAAATTGACAACAAATTGGTATTGAAACTCTGACCCCTTGTGCTGGAGTCCAGCGCACTGAACATTAGGACCGCACATCTCCCAGAACAAAGAAGGTTTCATTATTATTTTAATGCTCACCGATTCGAGTTCAAGTATAATTCTTCTCAAATCATACAGCGCCCATACAGGTAGCAACATGGCAGATGCTATAGTTGCCATTAGCAACAACAAACGTAAGTGATTCAGTTGTAAGTCTCTAAGTGCCTGAATATTAAAAAAAAAAAAAAAAGTACATGTAATACATTAGACTGGAAGGGATAATTATCAGAGAGTAAAACAATTAAAATGTAGCAGATATATATAGAAAAAAGAAGAGGTTAGGAGAAGGACAGAGGGATGAGATGGTGCTGTGAGGAGAGGGTGAAAGAAAGGAAGAGTTAGAAGTTTCAGCCCTAAAGTAGCCAACAGAAGAGCTCTTTTGTAGCATTTCTTGGGCAAGTAGTGGCAAACACAAGTAAAGATGAGAGTAAGAAGAGTGTGGAGGGTGTGTAGCAGGTTAAAGAAGGGGTGAAACAAGATACCACTTTTAGGCTTTCTCTCTTTTACTGTTGTTGCCTTTTTTTGGCTCCTCTGAATACTCAGAAAAATGACTCAAGTCAGGGTCTTGAAATTGAGGAGTATACACCTCTGTCTCTTGTTGTCTGGAGCTTCCATGCCATGTGATTAGCAAGGAAAATTTTAAAGATTCCTGACGTTACAGTGACGTTGTGAAGCGCCAATGATGGCAAAATTACTTAACATTAATACCTGAGAAGTGTTCAATCATCCAAGGGACAAGAATGGGGGAGAAAAGGACACACAGAGAGAGGGAAAATGGAAAGAAAAAAGGAAAAAAGGGATGATGGAAAAAAGGGAAGGATGAGAGGGAGAAAGGAATAATAGGGACAGGGAAGAAAAAACAAGTTAGAGCAAGGGTGAAACATGCCGAGAAGAGAATGTGGAGGCAGTGCTTACCTTTTTTGTGAAAATATTCTGTATAGCAAAAGTAAAGGTTGCTAACAAGGCACTAAGAAGACCAACCATGTCAAAAGACAATTCAGTCACTGTAGCAATCATGACTCCACCAACAATGGGAATTAATGAACAGTACACCTGAAATGAAAACCAAACAATTAGTGTTGAATGAATGAATGAACGAACGAACGAAAGGAATGAGAATATAAAAATTGACAACAAACATGACCAATAATAATAATAATAATGTTTATTTCTTATATTGCGCAGTCTAATATGTAGTAAAAGATATGATCGAATGCACATTACAACATTAAAAATCCTACAGCAATGAGGCTAATCCTACTACTGATAGCAATAATAATAATAATAATTTACAATTTTTTGGAAAAACAATAAAGGTAAAATAATGAATTAATAAAAGAACTAATAGAAAGCTAAATTAAAAAGATGTGTCTTTAGTAAAACTTTCAAAGTATCCAATGATTGACACTGTCTAATTTCCAGAGGTATTCGGTTCCATACTTTGGGCGCAGCATGTTCCAAAGCCCTATCCTGCAGAGACTGATCAATTCTTCTTATATTAGCCACTCACTACAGAGCAGAAAGGTGATGAGAATCAAGAAACATATCACCAAGGTTGCTTTTTTTTACTTTTGACACCAAGTTCTTAGAACACTATAAAAAATATGGCAAACAGTACAAAGAACTACCATTGAGATCTTAAGAAGCCGAAGGGTGAATTGGATGGCTGCCTACTTTGGGATACCCCATTCCATTTAGTTTTAAATCATATACATTTGGAATGAATTAAATGAAAAAAATAAACCAAATATTGAAAGATTTGTGTAAACTCACCGCTCCTGATTGTGTTTCTCCTAAAATTAGTCTTGAAAGAATAACTGTAAAGACTGGCATTGTTGCCTGTAAGATAATGTATTTTTCACTCAATGTATTTTTCACACTCAAGGTCTTAAAATAATTGAAGGTCTTAAAATAATTGAGAAGAATTTGCTACCTTTCTATAACATCAAGAAATGGTTAGATATTCTAGTCTTCTCGGATAGGGACGAATAAATGGAGGTCCTGTCTCCTGCAGAGTTGGGGGTAGGAGATGTTAATTTCTCATGGATGAGATTACTGTGTGATGGATGTCCTCCCCTGGGGTGGGATGGGTGGGAGGGTGGACTAGCATGAATGGTTTGTACGTTCCTTTCTAGTCCTTCCCCACTGCAAATAATGCAGTTAAAATGGAGTAAATTAAATTAATGTGAGAAAAATTAATCACAGTTCTTTTTTAGCAAGATGGTAAATTATAATTAATATTGCTGCCACTGGGAATAATAATAATAATAATAACTTTATTTATACTGCAAAAATAGATCAGCTGAATTTAAATAAAGACAGCTGGTATTAATGTATATGCAGTTGATAAAATATTTCAAATTGGTTTTGGCCTAAAACAAAAAAACAAAAACAAACAAAAACACTTTCAACCAAATGTTAAATCATTTCCTAGACTCAATTTGTCTGTTGATCTGAATCACAAGTCAGTTTACCATGGACTCCAATTTTTTCAGTACTTCAGGTATCTTTAGCTTCTTTCAATTCAAAGTTGAAAAACTGAAGATTTTGGCAAACAAGATCAACTAAAAGCAATAACAGAATGTGAAGTTTCTGTGATGACAAATCACCATCATCAAATGGAAATGATTTATAAAGATTTAGATCTCCATAGAAACACAAATGTTGACATTAAATTCAGAACAAATAAAAGTGTGGAACTAAAGAGAGGAATGTTCTGAAACTTTCCATGGCAGTACTATACAGGTTGTAGTGTTAAATTCTAGGATTTCTTAAGACAAAACCCTAAATCAAACATTGAGGTCAAGGGAAAAAAAGAAATGATTACTAACTGAAGAATGTCTTGATTTTTAAAGAAATTTTCCTTGTCAGCAACAGTATGGAGAATATGCATATAGTCGAACCTCGATTATCTGGACTCATTGGGACAAGACAAAATAGTCTGGGTAATTGAGAGTCCGGATAATCGAGGATACAAATAT